TAGGGATTGAACTCAAATCTCTTGCATTGCAGGCAGATTCTTTACTGCTGAGCTCCCAGGGAAGCCCCTCTATAGATATTGTTGGACAATAAATTTACAAAAAATGTCTGATATGATTTAATCCTGACTATAATCATTACTTTATTTCTGGTAATTTCACAAATAAACTGAGAAAACTTAATGTTTACTTTTCTGTCCCAGTGTTATTAGGGCTTTGATAAGCTGAAACAAAAGATGCAAACTAAAAAATCTCTGGGTTTTAAACCTGCTCACATCAAATTGTTCTTCTGAGATTAGACTTCAAGATGAAACTCATCTGTCCATCTCTACCAGAAACTTATGTTTCATTTTTTTCTATAAGGTTGGGTGCCTCTTCTGCATGTAAAAGAGGGCTAAACACAAGCTTTGTGCAGCATTAAGAATTTTTTTTTTCCCAAGATGAATACTCATCTTGAAGTTTGAAACTGGTTTCAAACGGAAATTTCTTTCAAACAAATTATAACCAATTTTTAAAAGAACTTTATTCATTTGGGCACCTACTGCCTCTATCACTGTGCACAGTCCACATTTCAATCCTCCGAAACTATAGATGGAACTATGGCATGAACCCTGATGCCCACCAGAACTCCTGGATCACCATCTGTGGACCAGTGTCTTATTTCCCCTTAGGTACCGGTTCTGAGGGTGAAGCCCCAGCTGATTAATCAAAGGACTCAAGAAGTGAGAATACCAGAGAAAAACCTTGAGAGTAATGTTTCATTTAAATGTCTAAATGCTCTCCTCTTTGCTTCTGAAAAACCTGCCATATAAACACAGGAAGAGAGCTACTAATGGTGAAACATTAATCTCTTCTTCCTCCTCCCATCATTCATCACTGAGGCCTGAAGTGGCAAGAGCAACTTCTGAGAAGCACCTTTTAGGACAAACCAGCACACCCCATCATCAGGTAAACAGTCCATCTGTCGGTATAATTAGGGGCACTGCCCCTTCCAACAAATCCTACAAGGCTTTTTTTTTTTTTTTTTAAATTGGAGGTCCATCTGAAGAGTTTCTGGGACCAAGTTCTCCTAAAGCATTTGTTAGAACAGCGAGATGCGAGATTCCAAGTTACAACCTGGGAGTCTTTCCCCTGAAAGTACGACTGCTGCTGGCAACCCGGGTGGTGGAGCCTTAGCCAGGTCCCGCGGGCGCGCGGCAGTGCCCGGGGACCCGTTGGGCGTGGCTCTCCGGCGGGCAGGCGGGGTTTGGGGAGGAGGCGCCACCAGGCTCTCGGTGCTGTAACTGGAACGGACCCCAGGGTCCCACAGCGAGGACGCGCAGACGGCCCTGAAGGGCCAGCAGGAACGGACTGAGTCTTGTGACAGGAGGACGGAGGCGCTGCGGTGGCACCTTCTCGCCGCACCCACGGCCAGGGCTTAGCGACGTCTCTGGCCCACCTGTGGCCGCAGCGACGCTTGGAGGAGTTTGGTGCTGACGCTGGCGTGGATGCTCTTGGTCCCCGGGAAAGGTTGGCCAGGTAGGGCGCTGGCGGATGGGAGCTCGGGGCGCCACCTGGGGCTTTGGAGGAGGGGCTCACTTTCCGGATGACCCGTGGGGCGTGCCGGCGCATCTGTACGGCTGCATCCAGTATCTGTTCCACACCGACCTCCGCGCTAGCCTTCCGCCCTCTTTGAAACGGTCACTTTACAGCCTTGGTGCTGTTCCGTTTTCCTTTGCGCACAAGCGACTGTTGCCTTCTCTCCTGCTGTTAAGACCCTCCGTTCCGTTTTTGTCCTTTTGTTTCCCGCTGATATCCGCTTCTTAATGTCCCTTTAATTTCCTGTAAGAAACTTTTGCTGAATCTTCCAGGTGTCCCTAGGCGACAACTGGATTTGAAATAATCCGAAAGGAGTTCAACTCCAAACTACACCACTTCTTCTCTACCCCTGGAAATAATAACATTTTACCCCTACAATAATTCAATAAGTTTTGTGTAAGATATCCTTTGTATATCGGTTAGAATCAGTTTTGCTACTGTAAAATAGATCTCTGAGAAGAAATCACTTCAATCCAGGACAAAGAACACTTGGTTTAAAATACAGTAAGTTAAGACAACATTCGTTAGTCCTTCCTGATTGTTTTCTGTTTGCACAGATAGGAGCATTAAATAAAACTTACTTGTAAGTTTCCGTATGTTTTTCAGAAATCAATCTGTGTAAAACTATCTGCAGCTTTTAAAACAAAGATTGGCTCAACATTTATAAAAGATAAGTGCATAATTTTACTTTATCAGCTTGTTGCTCTTCATCAAGTTGACTAAGGTGAGTTTGCTCTGTAAAACAGGGAGAGCAAGCACTCTCCCATGAAAAATTGTAAAAAGAATATTAGAACCCAATTAAGGTATTTCCAAAAATGAGAGGCCTCAACAAGCTATCTATCATTGATCCATGCTTTCTTTGGCTGCTTATACATTAACTAGATCTTCATTAAGAACTGTTCAAAATACATGTAATAATATGTAATATTAATATGTGCTTCTTACATTTAGATAATATGTTTCCAGAAAAATGACCAATATTTACAGAGGAATTTGCTTCAGTGTTTATTATAGCTCACATTACCCCTTCTTGCCCTTTATAATAACCCACTCCAGTATTCTTGCATGGAGAATCCCATGGACAGAAGAGCTTGGTGGGCTACAGTCCATGGGGTCGCAAAGAATTGGACACAACTGAAGTGATTTAGCATGCACAACCTCTCTACTAAAGGTGAATATTAACCGTTACCATGTTCTAAGCTCCTTTCATGGTAAAGTTGAAAATAAAGTTTATGATAAACTTATTTATGTCCTTATAGTAGAGATAAAAGGGGAGACAAATGGAACATACTTTTTTTCCAAATAGCTTTACCAAGTTATAGTTCATATTCCATGCAAATCATTTACAGTGTACAAGGTTTATTATGGTATAAAATGATTTCTGGGTTTATTTATATTCACAATTATGTGCAACCATTACTATAGTGAATTTTAGAACATGTTTATCACCTTGAAAAGAAATACTTTACTCTAGCTATACTCCCCTTATACCCTCCTCCAAACTCTCCACCTTCCCATTCATAACCAATCACTAATCTATAGAGTTTCTGCTCTGTAGATATGCTTATTCTGGATATTTTATCTAAATGGGATCATATAATAGATCGACTTCTTTCATTTAGCATTATGTTTTCAAGGTTCATCATGTTCTAACATGTATCAGTACTTTCTTTTTGTGATGGAATAATATTCCACTGTAAAGGTATACCATGTTTTGGATATAAATTAATCAGTTGATGAACATTTGGGTTGTTTCCACCTTGTGGCTAATATAAGTAGTGCTGCTATAAATATCTGGGTATAGGTTTTTGTATGGACATATTTTCATTTCTTTTAGAAATATACCTAGGAGTGGACTTATTGGATCATAGGGTAATTCTGTGCTTAACCGTATCAAGAATAGCCAAATTATTTTCCAAAGTGACTGCACTGTTTTTCATCCCTGCAGCAGTATGTGAAGTTTTTAATGTATTCACAGTCTCATCAGCACTGGTTATTATCTGAAATTTTGATTCTGACAATTCCAGTGGATGTGAAATGATATCTTATTGTGCTTTGATTTGCATTTCTCTGGTGGCTAATGATGTCCAAGCATCTTATTTCATGTGCTTGAACATCTGCATATCTTTTTTTGGAGAAATACCTACTCAAATCCTCTACCAATTTTTTAATTGGGTTGTTGGCCTTTTTGTTATTGAGCTGTGTGAGTTTTTGTATAGTCTAGGTGCAGTTTTCTTAGTAGGTATGTGGATTTGCAGTTGTTTTCTCCCACTCTATGGGTTGTCTTTTCACTTTCTTGATCATGTCCTTGGAAGCATGCAAGTCCTTGCTTGCCTGTCCTTTGTTTCTTGTGCTTTATTATCATATCTTGAAATCCACTGACAAATCTAAAGTCATGAAGATTTACCCTAATGTTTTTTGTCCTAAGTCTTAACATTTAGTTCTTATATTTTGGTCTTTGATTAATTTGGAATTAATTTTTGTATATGGTATAACCAAAGGGTCCAATTTCATATTTTTGCATGTGGCTTTCCAGTTCTGTTGAAAAAACTGTCATCCCTCCCTTAGGTACATGGGTTTATTTCTGGTCTGTTAGTTTTCTTTACCAGTCTCTGTCTCTCCTTATGCCACCACTACACTGTGGTGTTTACTGTAGCTTTGCAGTAAATTTTGAAATGAGAAAATGTGAGTCTTCATATTTTGTTCTTCCTTTTTTCTTGTGAGATCTTTTTTTGGCTTTGATACCAGGGTAATACTGGGCTCATAGAATGAGTCTGGAAGTATTCCATCTTTTTCTAGTTTTCGGAAATGTTTATGAAGAACTGATATTATTTTTTGAATGTTTGGTAGAATTGAGCATTGATGCCATCTACCTCGATATTTGAGTCTTGTCTTTTTACCGATTCAATCTTTTCACATCATATAAATCTATCTGGACTGCTTACTTTTTCTTGAGTCAGTTTTGTACTTTTTATCTTTTCAGGAATTTGTCAATTTTATAAAGGTTCTATAATGCATTAGCATGCAACTGTAATAGTATTGCTTAATAAGCTATGTAGTTGTGTGCCCTGTTTCATTTCTAATTCTATCAAGTAAGCTTTCTCTCCTTTTTCCTTGGCAACTCTAGAACTATATCAACTTTGTTGATTATTTTTTTTAAACATCTTTTGGTTTCACTGATTTGCTCCATTGTTTTTCTATTCTGTTTCATTAATTTCTTCTTTAGTCTTTCAGATTTCTTTCCTTTCTCCATTAGATTTAGTATGCTCTTTTTTTAAAATCTTCAGGTAAAAGGTTAGTTGATTATATTGGGATCTTTTTTTTTTTTTTTAAGGAGTCAGTAATTCATTTTTTTACTTGAAACAACTTCAGACAATATTTTAAAGATTTTTATACATAAGCTAACATACAGCCTATTTTTCTTTTATGAGAGAAATGTACGAACAGTACCCTTAATTATACCTCTGCAAATAGGGCATCTTCTTAGAGAAGGGGCACATTCTTGGCATACTACCAGATGACCACAAGGAATGAATACAATAGAAACTTCTTTGTCCATACACACTTTACAAGTTCTTTCTTCTTGCAGCCTTCTCAACTGTTCTTCCAGGGACAGACCTGAGACATCTGCTGGAATATACTTCATATTCTTTTCCACAAACAAGTTCTTATATAATGTAGGGTCAATTTCCTTAAGACAGTTTTTGAAGATGTTGGCGGCACTATTTCCTTTAACTAAAACAGTATCAATCAGTTCTCTTGCTTGTAAAGGTATCTGTGTTTTTTGCTTAATAATATCATGTTCCTGTTTATTAATTACATTGGCCTTTAAAAGATCATCCAGGATAGGAAGCACACACGTCAACTGTTGAAAGAGGGCCATTCTATTCCTCCGAAGTAATGACAAATCATCTGATGCTGTTTCTTCAGTCTGTCTTTCCTTCTCTTCCTCCTTTTCTTCTTCTCTTTTCTCATCTTCAGCATTGAGAAGTGCTGACACAATATCATTAACTGTTTTGTAATTCTCTCCAGTTGTTAGGATTTTACTCTGAACTGTCCGCTTTACCAGGCTTCTACTAGAGCCCATTTCCAAGGCAGCTTTAACCACGGGTGTATTCATCATGACTGCATCGTCTGAAGAACTTTCTCCAGGTCCAAAATGAACAATTGGTGGATCAGCATTTTCATCTCCAGGAGTATTTGCAGTTGACAACAGCTGTTCAAGAAGATGAGGATATCTAGCTTGAATCTCACCTACAAACTCCTGCCCTTTCATGTGTATCAAGAACTCACACCTTGGAAACCATTTGGCATGTTCTACCCATGGGTCATCTCCAGATTCCCAACACCTTAAGCCACCATCACAACAAAAGCACTTGACATCATCGTTGCGACCTACATAATAGAAACCAGCACTTGCAAGCTGCTCGGGCTGGACTGGTACAGCAGGTGGCCAGTACATAAATGTTCTCAGGTGAGCTGCATGTGTCTGCATACTCAAATTTGAAATGCTGAACCTTAGCGTTTCCAGAGAATTTTCCAAAAATGGACAGTTGGGAAAGTGTCTCTGGTGTTCTAACATAGCATCATCCTTTGGTTCCCAGTTATTTAGCGTCCCACCACAGGCAAAGCAGGCTACCCTGTCTCCAGGTCCTATATAATAAAAGCCAGCTCTTGCCAATACTGATGGTGACAGAAAGGTTAATGGCCACATTTGATAAGTAAGAAATCTCGCTTCTTCAGTACTCATGGCATAACTGTAGGGGTTAGTCCTCAATGGGGAAAAGTCTTCGACTGCTCGAGAATTAATAGGGTTTGGTGAAAGGTTGGAATAAGAACCACTGAATGATCTACCATGTTCCAAAGTGGGTGATGATGCGTGAGTAAAACTGTTTCTCATTGGAGAAGAAGCATTCTTAGAAGTGGATTCCAGACTAGTAACAGAAACTAGATTCTGAATAAAGCTACAGCTTGGATACAGTTGTTTATGCTTCTCAATAGGACTGTCTCCTTGTTTCCAGTTATCCAGCATCAGGCCACAACAGAAGCATTTGACCTTGTCATTCACACCAGTGTAATAAAAACCAGCACGAGCAAGACTCCTTTCTGAGACAGGAACACCGGCGGGGAAGGCTGAATATGTAGACATTCGGTAGAGTTCACATGAAAAGTTGTATGTCATCTTCTGTTTGTTGCCAACTGTCCAATCGGACAAGACTGTGCTGTCTTCCATCACACTCTTAATTTTTTGATGCGAGGAATCCAGGACAAGTCTTTGGGAGGTAGTTTTGTGCATGAGTGATTTTTACTTTTTGACAGCAAAAATCCTTTACATGAAAATTTTCTTCTCTTCACATTAGATTTTTTTTTTTACCATAAAAAGGATCAAAGGATAGGCTCCTACTCACGTAAAATTCACTACACCTTCTTTACTGGATTTACATCTGAATTTACACTCAGGTAGGACGACTTTCTCTCGTATATTATCAAACTACCATTTAATACTCTTTAGGACTATATTAACTCAAGTGCTATCTGTTCACTATTTGGTATAATACTAACCTAACAGTCTGAAAGAAGTTGAGGCACTTTTGAAAATATGTTAACACTCCTTGATTTTTCAAGCAAGTTTATATTCCCCAAATTCTAAACAAAGACACAATACTTATGCCTTTAATTTGCTTCTGGTTACAAACTACAAAGCCTGGGTATCAAGCCAATTAATGGCTATCCTACAAGAGAAAAAAACTATATGCAGACTTCTTTCCCTCCAAGCACTTTAAAACTTTTTTATTAAAAAAAAATCTTCTTTTATTCTAGCAAACAATAAGTCTTCATATGGTCACATTATCTAAAGGCTAATTTCACATAGCTTATCATCATAGTATTTACTTAAGAAGGTTAAAGTAGCTTCAATGAACACTTTTGGAGGATGTCAACACTTACAAGCATTATTGAACCTAAATCTGTTATACTGTGCACGATGTTAAAACTCACAAGCTGCTAACTCATCTTTGTTAATACTGTCTATATTTGTTTTCATTTCCTGCAGCATCAATATTATGTTGTCTTTCTTCTTAACTTTGCATACCACTTAATTACACTTGGTCAGTTGAAGGTATTGTCTCCATAAACTTAACTAATTAACCATAGTTTCTACAGCAGAACCTTTCTACGTAACTTGTCTTTCATTTAAAAATCATGCATCTATAATATCCCTCATTTTGTATTTAAAGGTAAATCAAGTTTATCAAGATACAGCTTGACTGTTCTAGTATTATCACAAATGCCTAACAAGTTACTCTTATCACCAACACTGCTCATGCATAATATGCCAGTAATTAACTCTCCTAGCCCTGTTTCTGAAAACCCTTCATATTTTAAAAGTCTGTCATACACAAAATTACACTCCACAGAATTCAAACTATATCCCTTTATAAAGTTTTTGGGTGTCCATAATGGGATTTATTACTGCAGGGGAAAAAAATGAGGGAAAAAAGTAGATTCTCCAGGGCTGTAAATCGCGGGGCCGGCGCAGCAACGCGGAAACGGTTCGGCCGCCCGGAGCCTCCTCAGCCCCTTGAACAGCGACGCAGGCAGAAGGGGCGGCCGGGTGGCTGGGCTCCAGCGCTCCACAGGCTCCCCCGGATCTTTTCTTTTTTAATATAATTTTCCTCTACACACTACTTCAGCAGCATCTCACAAATTTTGGTGTGTTGTATCTTTATTTTCATCCTTTTCAATACATTTTCTTATTTCCATTTTCATTTATCTCTTGGTTTGCTAGTTGTTTAATTTCCACATATTTGTAAGTTTCTTAAATTTCTTTCAGCTGTTGACATATATTCATTCTATTACAGTTAAACAACATATTTTGTATGATTTTGTCTTTTCAAATTTATTGAGGTTTGTCTTAGGGTCAAATGTATTGTCCATCCTGGAAAATGTTCCATGTGCTTTTCAGAAAAATTTATATTCTTCTGTTGTTGGGGATAGTGTTCTGTAGATGTCTCTTAGGTCACTTTGGTTTAAAGTGTGTTGTTCCAGCTTTTTCTCCTTTATGATCTTCTGCCTATTTTTCTATTCATGTTGAAAGTGGGATATTAAAGTCCCAACTATTGTCTTTGAAGTATTTGTTTTTCTTTGTTTTTGTCATATTTTGCTTCATGTATTTTTCTGCTCTGTTATTAGATGTCTATAAACTGAAAAGCCTCTTGATGAAAGTGAAAGAGGAGAGTGAAAAAGTTGGCTTTAAAGCTTAACATTCAGAAAACTAAGATCATGGCATCTGGTCCCATCACCTCATGGGAAATAGATGGGGAGACAGTGGAAACAGTGTCAGACTATTTTTTTGGGCTCCAAAATCACTGCAGATGGTGACTGCAGCCATGAAATTAAAAGACGCTTACTCCTTGGAAGGAAAGTCATGACCAACCTAGACAGCATATTAAAAAGCAGAGACATTACTTTGACAACAAAGGTCCGTCTGATCAAGGCTATGGTTTTTCCAGTGGTCATGTATGGATGTGAGAGTTGGACTGTGAAGAAAGCTGAGCACCAAAAAATTGATGCTTTTGAACTGTGGTGTTGGAGAAGACTCTTGAGAGTCCCTTGGACTGCAAGGAGATCCAACCAGTCCATCCTAAAGGAAATCAGTCCTGGGTATTCATTGGACAGACTGATGCTGAAGCTGAAACTCCAATACTTTGGCCACCTCATGCGAAGAGTTGACTCATTGGAAAAGACCCTGATTCTGGGAAAGATTGAAGGCGGGAGAAGAAGGGGATGACAGAGGATGAGATGGCTGGATGGCATCACCAACTCGATGGGCATGAGTTTGAGTAAACTCTGGGAGTTGGTGATGGACAGGGAGGTCTGGCGTGCTGTGATTCATGGGGTTGCAAAGAGTTGGACACTGAGTGACTGAACTGAACTGACCTGATATTTATAATATCTTTCTCATGGATTGAAACTTTATAGTTATAAAATGTCCCTCTGTATCTCTAGTAACTTTTTTTAATTTTAAAATATTTTTGTCTTATATTAGTATGCCAGTCCAGTTTTATTGTGGCTCCTGTCTGCCTGATGTTATTTTTCATTCTTTTACTCTCAATCTATTTGTATTATCATCAAGAGGCATTCATCTTTTAATATATAAAGGAGGACAAAGTAAAGAGATTTAGCAGATTCATCACCTCTCTATTTGACCTTGCTTTTCATGCTTTTGTGTCGCTGTAGAATCCATAATACAATTTTGAATATTAAAAACTTAATATTAACTTTTTATTTATCATTGAATTTGAAGCTAAACAGTGGTTTTTTTCTTTCCCACATCCTTGGGAAAGCTATATAATTTTTTTTCTAATGCACAAATATTTGAAATTCCTGTTGAGCAATATGCTGCTGCTGCTAAGTCGCTTCAGTCGTGTCTGACTCTGTGCGACCCCATAGACGGCAGCCCACCAGGCTCCCCCATCCCTGGGATTCTCCAGGCAAGAACACTGGAGTGGGTTGCCATTTCCTTCTCCAATGCATGAAAGTGAAAAGTGAAAGTGAAGTCTCTCAGTCATGTCCAACTCTTAGCGACCCCATGGACTGCAGCCTACCAGGCTCCTCCATCTATGGGATTTTCCAGGCAAGAGCACTGGAGTGGCGTGCCACTGCCTTCTCTGTTGAGCAATATGCTCAGTCACTAAGTCATGTCCTACTCTTTGCAACCCCATGGACTATGTAACCCACCAGGGTCCTCTGTCCATGGAATTTCCAAAGAATACTGGAGTGGGTTGCCATTTTCTTCTCCAGTATACCAAAGTTTTTCTAATTATAAACTCAGATATTATGAAATGCCTGTCTTTAGGCATATAAATATATTTATCTATTAAAAATAAAATAATTTAGTTTATCATATTTGTCTGTCACCCAGTTATGAATTAGGAAGTAAGCTAGTCTTAGCCATTGTATTAACCAATATATTAACATAATACAGGTTATTTATATCTACAAATAAAACTAGAAAACTATTTGCATATTGTATCATTATATATCTATTATTTATAACTTTGCATGTTTTACCAACATATTTGAAACCCAAATATTGCAGATTCTATTATATACTACCTAGCTTCTTTAAATCCCTTTGAGAAGACAAAATAAGTAGAAATGTAAGTTTTAATGTATATTTATATGTACTTTTGTTTTAAGGGAAAAAATGTTATATTGTACATTTGCTAGAAAGCTTCACACATCATTCATGTCATGAAATTGTCTTATGAGTGAGATATGCTTGTAGAGTTATTCTTTTGGTACTTTGAGGAGCTAGGCTTTCTGATTCCTGAATGGCAGCCCAAACCAGCCACAGTTAACTATGCCCCCTTATAGAGTTAAGGTTGTAATGAGGTTTTTAAGAGTGTCACTCGTTCGTTGCTAATAAAATTTAATTTTTTTCTGTAGAGACCTTGAACATTTAAAGTGTGACTAGTTAGTTTAGAGGGGAAAATTGTGAAATAAATAATACAAAATATGAGCTATTAAGAATTTTCCTTTAAAATAAATATCAAATAAAAATTTAAAAATTTCTGTTCAAATATTATATGGTTCTTTAGTACTGTCATTGTCATAATGTGCTTGCTTCTACATTTATGACATCATTAATTTTGGATTAGGAAACAGTTACTCAAAGCAACAAAATCAAAGGAAATGTGAGAACTTCAGAAGCGCTTAGCAAGAAGAAATACTGCACAGAATAAACATGGAGTTATTGACTTTTTCCCCAAGATAAAATTCTATTGCAGGATAAGCTCAGAGAAAACATTTCAGTAATTATATAAACCTCACTAGTGATCTCGTTTTAAATATTTTCCTTGATTTCTAACCATGTGCAATCTTCTGATACTGACAGGGAATTAGAATCATTTCAAAATTAAATCAAATGATAGCACATCCTGTGACTTCTACTCTCATGCATTTTATAAAATATTTATCTAGTGTTGACAAATTGAGATTGTCGAAGTCACTAGAGCCTTTGGGGACATTTATAACTGGTCAAACTAGAGACAAAAGGAAAAAGAATGTTTTGTGGTCATTCCTAAAATCTTTTACTGAAAAAGATTCTTTAGGGAGATCTTTTATCTTGCAAAACAATACCTTTTTTTCCCAGTTTAATTGCTATAACTATAAACAAAATAAAAGCAAAACATTTTATAAGCTATACTTGTGAGACTGACATGCAAATTAATATCTCTACTGTGCTCCTTGTTTCATCTGGAAACTGATATTTGTTTATCAACGCTCTAACCT